AGGAGAATTATCCAATGCATGATCTCAAGCTTTTAGTGGTCATATTCACATTGAAAATATGGCAACATTACTTGTATGGAGCACAATTTAAGGTATATAGTGACCATAAGAGTCTCCAATATCTAGTATACTAAAAAGAACTGAATATGAGACAATGAAGATGGATGGAGTTTCTTAAGGACTATAACTTTAACTTAAAGTACCATCTTGGGAAGGCCAACATAGTGGCCAATGCCCTGTGTCAGAAGATGCTCCGTATGGAATATATAATGATGTGTGAATAGAAGCTATTGGAGGAGTTCTCTAGCTAACATCAAAATGTCCCAAATTTTGCAATGTACAACTTAAATACAACATAATCACTAATGAATATATAAAACATAATTAGAAGATGTGTGTTCTAGATGATAGAAATTAGAGAGATTATTATGTTAGAAGCTCATTGAAGCAAGTTCACCACCCTAGTGCTATGAAAATATACCAAGATATGAAGAAATGATGGTAGTGGCATGATATGAAGTAAGATGTGACTAAGTTCATCTCTAAGTGTTTGACTTGTTAGAAAGTCAAGACATAGCATTAGAAGCCAATTGGATTTCTATAACTATTAGAGATCCCAAAGTGAAAATAGGACAGTGTGTCTATAGACTTCATAATGGGATTGCCTTGTATACAAGTGAATCATGATATCATTTGGGTCATAGTTGATAGATTGACCAAGTCATCTCATTTTTTAACTGTCAGAGTGACTATTCTCTTAAGAAGTTTGCTAAGGTTTATATTCAATAAATTGTGAGGTTACATGGGGTGTTGAAAGATATTGTGTTAGATCATAATTTGAGGTTCACATTAAACTTCTGGAAAGCATTACACCAAGCTATGGGTATGAAATTAAAGTTTAGTATGGCTTATCACCCCTGGATTCACAAAAAAAAACTTAGAGAACCATTTAGACTCTCGAGGATATGCTACGAGCATGTGTTATCAAGCTAAGTAGAAGTTGGGACAAACACTTGCCACTTATGGAGTTTTCTTACAATAATACCTTTCATGTGAGCATTCAAATGGCTCCTTATAAAGTGTTGCATGGTAGGAAATGTTGATAACCTCTTTATTGCACTAAATTGTGTGAGCGTAGTATTCAGGGTCCAGATTTGGTTGATTAGACTATAGAAAAGATTTAGATGATTTGACAAAAGTTGATGACTGCTCATAGTCAGCAGAAAAGTTATACAGATAAGAGGAGAAGAATGCTGGAGTTTATGGCAAGCGATCACATTTTCTTGAAGGTTTTACCTATGATTGGAATTGGAAGATCTATTTAAGCAAAGAAGTTAACTCCCAAGTATATTAGGCCATTAAAGATTCTTTAGAGGATTGGGCCTTTAGCATACTGGATTGCCTTACCTCCTCATTTATCCCATGTACATGATGTTTTTCACATCTCACAACTCAAGAAGTACCAACCCAATCTATCTCACATAATTGATCTTGAAGATGTAGAGCTATAAGAAAATTTGACTTATTAGACTGAACTAGAGAGAATAGTTGATGTGAAGGAGAAACAACTAAGGAATAAAACCATTCACCTAGTGAAGATGATATGGAAGGAAAAGACTCTTAAAGATGCTATATGGGAGACTAAGGAGAAAATGAGGCAACAATATCTCCACTTATTCTAGTAAGGTATGTTTTACTAGTTATTTGAATTTTGAGGACAGAATTCTTAAAAGGAGGGGAGAGTTATAACATCCAAGAAACTATGTCTCGTAAGTGAGTGTAGTAGCCTTGGTTGGGAAACTCCTTATGATCGAAAGCTGGGTTAGTCTGAGTTCATGGTAAGAATGCATCTTTTAGATTATATTATGAAAATTATTGAGAGAAAAATCACAAATTGAATGGTAAGAATTCATCTTTTAGATTGTGTCTTAGGCTTATAAAGTCATAAATCTTCATTTTCAGACACTTAGAATGCATCTATGCTAAAATGTCTGATCCATGCTTGTTTTGGTATGAACACACATGTGAATCAACCTCCCATGTGCATTATAAAACTTAGTAGATCCCTTTTAAGCTTGAGTTAGAATTGAAACTTTCTTGAATTAGACTTCAAAAGCAATACTCAACATTATAGGTCAATCTAAGCTTGTTTTGGATTGAACTCACTTGTGTTTAAGCTATTAGTGAAAGCAAGGTATCTTAAGCTTGGCTAAATCATGCTTGACTCTAGTTTGAGATCATGCTTGAATGAGCCATTGTACTTAGACTTTCTTCTACGGACTAATTCTTCCTTGAGTTAGTATGTTGTCCATGCTTGAATCATCTAAAGTCTCATCTCGAAGTGTAACTTAGAGTAATCTATGCATGACACCCTTGTGATATATGCTTGAATGGGTTCCAAGACTTAGTTTCTTTCAAGCCTAACTTGGAGAGCCTTAAGCCTAAATAAGCTATTTCAAGATTGATTCTAAAGTGACTCAAGCATGTTCTAACTTTTATCTACCCACATGTGTTTGAGCTCATATGGAAGCATGGAACTTCTACACTCTAATACATGTTTAAACCATTATAGCTTCACACTTGAACTATATTGAAGTAAACTAGACCCTTGTGTATAAAGCTAATCCACCCATGTTTCGTTACTCATCCATGCATGAATCATATTCTGACAAGTATTTAAACATCACTTCTACGTGTCTTCAATGGCTATTTCACTCACATTGAGTTTCTTAATGTCTCTTTTGGTGCTATATTAGTGAATTCTTACCTTCTTGCATTATATTAATGTTAAACTTGCTTTCATTCAGTTTATAAGCTTTACATGCATTAACAACTCTTTTGAGAGTTTACTTGAGTTTAACTAAACTGTTTCTATTATCTCTTTGGGGGAGAAATCTTTAGGAAAACACCTTCATCTCTTATTTGAGTGAACTAAGGGAATTGTTCCCTTATTTTTTTTATAAAGAAGAGACTTCTCTATGAAGGTAAAAGTGTAAGGAAGATATTTCCTTATAAGAAAAGGAAGGCTTTTCTTGTAAATTGTAAGTTTTAAATCCAAAAACTATAAACTAATTAAGGATAGATTAGTAAATTAGTGAAATTATTAAATTAATCATGTTTTCAGTTGTTGATGAGCCTTTTGGATCATTGGGTAGTTTCAAGGTTGGGCTAGCTAGGATGGAAATGGTTACTAGACCATTTGTTGTGGCGGATGAAAGTCCATCCAATAAGGGGTGAATTAGGCTTAATAAAAGTTTCACTAATTAAGAAAAATAAAATGATAACTTGAAAGTCCATCCAATAAGGGGTGAGTAGGGAATAGAAACTTACACAGATCAATTATCTTGGTTTGACTCCAATCACTTAAGCCTATGCCCAGTTCTTAATTTACACTTGAGATTTTCTCCATTTACTCTTTTAAGATTAAGTCAGGCTCTTGGTTGTCTCAATATGATCCTAAACTTATACTTAAGTTTGAATTACTCTCCCTTAAGCTCCTTGAGCTTAAGATCCTTTATTTCAAGAATAAAAATAGGGATAACTAAAGTAAGTTCAAAAATGAATTACTACTATTAAATACTCTCTCTAAGAGTTCATTTACAATCAATGAATCTCACTTGCAATGAATATTACAATAGTAAGTAACTGAAACAATAAATGAATATGCTTGTGCATTAACTCGGTTGTTCTTTCTTTTCACTGTCTTCAAAAATGCATCTATTTATAGTGTTCTTCATAAATGATCCATTAAACATATGGATATATCTGTTAGAGTTATCATCTTCTCTCTTATAGCTTATCTAAAATGTGGTAGTGGCACAGTGCTTTATGATGGATATTTTACTTTAAATTAAACTCATATTTTTTTAGCTTTATGCTCTAAAAGATATTGATACAATTATTTTTTCCATTGAAACTGACTATAATTCTCCTTCAAATCTTTGGGTAAAAGACTTTCTATTTCCATTAGTTATAGTTTTGCTAAATCATTCTTTTCAAATCATCTGTGGAATAAACTAAAAGCATCATTTCAAGATTTAAAATTAAAAGAACGCTTATGTGAAACAAAAAGGATAATGGAGGAGAGAGAAAGAGAGATAGGATAGATAAGGCAAAGGAAATGCTCAACTTTTTTTCAATCAATCAAAAAAGATAATATAATGTTAATTTCTTTATGACTTTTTATGTACTTTTTATCTTTTTAATATAATTTCTTTTGAATTAAAAAGATGAAAAGGCTAATAGATGCGAAGATACATAAATACATAAATAAATAAATAAAAACATAATGATATGAAAATTCACGAAATCCTAATTGATCTATAAAATATATCCTAAACATATATCCTTATTTTTTAAAAAAATATCGTATAACAAAGAATCCCAATAAAATGATAGTATATTTAGAGAGAGAAATAGATATAGATACAAAAAAACATAAAAGATGTTCAGTATCACGGAGAAGCTTAAAAAAATACACACACACATATAGAGAATGAAAAACACATGAAGGAATTGGCCAAAAGGAGAAAAAAAAAAAAAACACCGAAAGGAAAAATTGAATCAACAAGTTGATTGAGGTTATACATATATACGACCCATTCCTAGCTGTCGTACTTGCACACCACTAATATTAGAGCATTCCTTATTTCGTCATTAACTTGTATATTATAAACAGAAAATGCCGACTTGTGTCCAGAAACTAATTATATTATTATTGTCACTAACAACTAAATAGACGTTAACAACCGCCTAAAAATAGTCCCACTAGCGTGTGGTTGACTTCGTTTCTCTTATTTCAACGATCCAAAAGCTCCAATAGAAAGTGAAACCCTCAATTTTAAAAAATATATCATTTCATATTCACCGACAACCCAATATTCTCCATTAGGTCTCGAAACCGAGTCGTTCACTTTACCAAAACCCTTTGAACTTTTCTTCTTGTTATATAAATATATCTCAACATTGCATTGTGAAGATCTAGCTGGCTAGCAAGTTAACATACCAAGATAATAACATGACAAGTCCTTCAAGCTGTTCATCTTCTTCCTCCATCTCGATTTGCCCTGAGAAATTAGTGAAGAGGGAATTGTCTAATATGTCCATTGAAGCTTATCATGTAGGAAAAGCTGCTTCTGTTCCCTTTGAATGGGAATCTGAACCAGGCACTCCTAAGTTCAAATTATCTAGAGATGCTTCTGATCTTCCTCCTCTCACTCCACCTCCTTCTTACTTATACAACAAGACTTCCAAATCAAAGAAAAGCATGCCCATGAAAAGTAGTTCCTCTTTTAAACCTTCCCTTCTGCAAACTATATTCGTTAACCGCGCCACAAGAAAACAGTCTCCTAATATTCCTTCATCTTCATCTTCATCCACTTCTTCATCATCATCATTCTCGTCACCGGCGTATTTTTCAGTGCCATCTTCTCCTATGATATACTCACAGAAGAATGAAGAAGAAGAACTGTACGATGCGGATGTTCGCAACAGTGCTAGGTGGGGCAGAGGGTGCTATTTCATGATTAAGAAGGTGCTGCCCAGAGATTTTCAGTGATATATGGGTGTGCCCAAAAATGTAATTTTTGTTCTCTGTCTTTATATAAAGTTTCAGTTTAACCCCTTATTTTTATAAAGTATATTTTCAGTTTTTTAACGAAATGCCATTAGTCTCAAATAATTAATTATTTTGTGCTAATCAGTTAATTTTTAAAAAAATTAAAAAAAATTAAACTTAATAAATTAACATTTGAGAATGCATTTAAAAATTTAATGTTGGCATTGTTAATTACATTAACAGTGTTAAGGTTAGATGATGAAAAAAATAATTTATAAAATTAAAAAAATAAAATAAAACTTTATGAAAAATTAACCAAAGGTTCACTCCTACCTTCAAAAATATGTTATTTGGCCATGGCATTGATTTGTCCAAGTGAACATTGTATGTTATGTGTCTGCGTAGAAAACTAAATAAATGATGCATCATTATATAGGGTAAAATAGCAAACTACCCTATGAGTTATCAGTCCAAGAGTGTATAGGATTTTAAATTTATTTTTATATAATATTTTCTTTTAACTTTTGGAAATAGTATAATTTGTTCCTTATCATTAACAAAATTAATTTTGACCATAATTTGACTAGAAAATGATAGAAAATGGCTTCAAAATTTACAAAAAGGACCAATAAAATTTTCTTAGTCATTTTCTATAATTTTTTGTCCTTGTCCATACTTTTTGGGTTCTTTAATTTATTATAGACAAAGTCAATATTTTACTAATGATAAAGGTCAGATTATACCATTTTTAAAAGTTAAAGGAAAATATTGTATAAAAAAATGAGTGGTTTAGGAATCTAGACACTTCTAGGTCTATAGTTTAAGAACTAATTTATCATTTAACCCATATATATGTGTGTGAATATATTACTGATAGTTATTGTCACTGTTGAGTTATTTGTCTCTTCATTTTGGTATTCGACAAACTTAACAAAATGTGCGCGCGCGCACGTATAACTGGGATGATTTATTGTGTTCTATGAAACACATTAAGTTATGATACAAATATATGTTGATAAAAGGTAATTGTAATTCCAAACTCATTTCGTTACAAAACAAAAGTTAGTTTATTTTCAAACCCATGTAGTCAATTGAATATTATTTAAAAGAAGAGAACTTATAGAGCTATATATATATATATATATATTCAAAGCCCAGGAACCCACGTTATAAAAGTTGATTTACTAGTATATATAGTGATTCGAATGCTAAGAAAATCACAAGCCATTTATAAATGAAGAACATATATAGTACCAGGCGCAAAACACAAGAAGAAATGCAAAAAACAGAGCTTTATGAGAAGGATCAGGGATGGGCAACGTTGATGGAATAGATATTGATATATTAACTTGGATTCTAGAAGATAAATAGTTTTATATTATTTTAATATTTTGGTGAGTTAAATGAACCAACCTATCTAACTGAAATGTTTAATGAGTCAAGGTTTATTTGGTCATCATTAAATTACTTTTAAAAAAAGAATTAAATAGCAATTTAACTTCTAAACTATGACTCAAGAGCTTTTGAGACCCTAAAATTATTTTTTGTACAATATTTTCTCTCTGTCTTTGAAAATGGTATCATGTAGTCCCTAGCATAAACAAAACAAAAAAATTTTGATCATTAGTTAACAAAAAAATGATAAAAAAAGATATAAAAAATTATATAAAATGACCAAGAAAATGTGGGTCCTTGTTCATAATTTGGAGTCATTTTTCTATAATTTTCTTGATCATTTTCCTAATCAACTAACAGTTGAAGTTAACTAATGTTAATAACTAGAGCTACATAAATATTGCACTGTTTTCAAAAGTTTAGGAGAAACATTATATAAAAAATGAATTTAGGGTACCAAATGTTTCTCGACCTATAGTTTAAGGGTCAACTTGCCCTTTAACCAAAAAAAAAAATAAAATCAACTCAACTCAATAAATTGGCATGTTAAACGAATTAGCTCAACCGGTTTGCAAAAGAAGCTCTATATTTTGAAAAAATATATAATTTGCCCGTTGAATACATTAAAAAGGGTGAAATAAAAAACCTAAAACAGTTTGCTATTCAAATATATGTCAACTCGACTTACCAATTGCATTTAGGTCGTTCATAACTTTTGCCATTGGGGGAAAAACTTCTCAAATACATCTAACTTGAAAAAAAATCATATACAATTACTATATCACCACTTGTGAATGGTATAAATCACCAAGTATTGTGAGCTGAAAATGACAAACTAATACCGAAATCATAACACATTAAGTCAATAAATGATTGCTAAGTCACATAATTATATTATATTATCAAACGTGAAAAGCAAATGGAAAGTTGAAATAATAAAATATTAAAGAATAATCTTCTCGTGTTGTCATGTTTGAAAAGACAGTAGCAGGTGTAAAAGCTTAAGCATTTGATCATATATAGCGCCTTTAATTATTTTCTATTTATTTATTTGGAAATTTTTGTTTGTTTGTCTTTCATTATTTTATCATGAAAGAAAGGGTAAAAGCGTTAGTTTAGTTGCAATTGCACAAAAGGTTCCATGTACTTTGAAACCTCGCTTATAGACTCTTGTACTATCTCAAACATGAGAGCGGAATTCCGTTTTATGCATGAAATGACAAGTTGAGTTGGGGTTTCAAGTAGACAATTTTTGCATGTTTGGATCGCAAATTGACACGTAAAAGTTATTATGATGATAAGTTAATTAAACTAATGTTTTAACAAGTTCATTTGATGTGTTACAACAAATTTACTCATGCATTTTCAATCCTCATTATTGTTATCCCACCCTAGCTTAACAACTGAAAATGAAACATTGAGTTAGGGTTTGAACAAGTAAAAGTTAAAAAAATGACAAGTTGAGTTAGGAAAGGAAAAATGACATGTACATATAGATCTACCATAATAGAAAAGTTCAAAAGCTACCTAGAGTCCCTACTATAGTAAAAAATAAATAAATAAATAAATTTGGAGTCATGCAGTAGTGTCACAGTAGAAAAAGCTAAATAGGTTTTAATCGACCAAAAAACATATAGATCAATCATAATAGAAAAGTTCAAAAGCTACTTAGAGTCCCTACTATGGTAAAAAAAAAAAAAATTGGAGTCATGCAGTGGAGCGTCACAGTAGAAAAAGCTAAATAGGCTTTAATCAACCACAAAAGTCCACATCTACAATGCCTGCCTAGTAGGAGACGATGAAAGTCATGTAACAGTGCAAGTTGCCATACAAGAATGGAAAAAAAAAACATGTAAGATCTATATAGTGTATGTAATAAGAAACCAAACAAATACATAAGTTAGAGTTGCATACTTGGTTGTTCAAACAAATAAAAAAAGAGTTGCGTACCTTATTTCACTATAGTCACTGAGCTACATGAGCTAGTTATCCTAGATCTTCTTTTTTATACCCTTTAAGTGTTATGTGGCTTTTGGTGGGGAAAGCACACACCAAGTTAGGGTTAGAGATCTAGGACGGGACCTAACATAGTTTGGGCTTTAATTTTTCATGGACCGTCATTCAAGCGGTTTTAACAATCATAATGTAATTAAAGTTGAGCCCACAAATAAATTCCCAATCTCCCACTTGGGCACATTAATTGGAGCCTATGTTCTTCCCATGCAAAACATGCAATATAATGATATTTTGCCCATGCAAAATATTTCATCTTTGCCATGAAAAGTGTAGAATGAGATGATGATTATCAGCAAATCATGCTTAATTAATCACTACTACAAAAAAGATAATATTGGACGGTTCTTTTTGCCTATATTGGACGATTATGAACCGTCCAATATGGGACCGTCATATATTAGTAAGACAAATATTAGATAGTTATCACAATCGTCCAATATTACTATATTGGGTGGTTCAAGGAAACATCCAATATATTGTTGAAAGAAGTGGGAACTATGAAGGATATATTGGACAGTTAACTTTAGAATCGTCCAATATAATATTGGACGGTTATGACTATAATCGTCTAATAAATTCCTTATATTAAATGGTTATTGTCAATAACCATCTAATATATTAATTTTTTTATAATAGAGAGGCTGCATTTCTTGCAGCCCCCCTCCAACAGTACAATGCAAATGAAATGTCCAATCTAGTCCAATCCAATCTAAACTTATACTAAACTAAAAGCAATTTAAAAAACTAAGAATTTTATTAAAAAACAAATATGTTTGCTATACAATTTGTCATTATAATACTAATGAAAAAACAAACTATTACAAATTAAAATCTAAATGAGAAAAACTAAAATAAACAAGGTCCACCTCACTTACTTTTGGCCCATAATTGAAAAATGTACTCATACTATTCCTCAATGACTTCGTTGATATGACGGTCCCTGAATTCTTCACAGTACGAATTAGGATAATACTATAATAATGTAATATAACAATAATGTTAATCAATTACTTAAGGAAATTAAAATTCATAACATTATATAATTGAATTTGAATAACATACATACCATAACAGGAATTAGCATCATTCCATGAGTGATGATATCTTTGAGAAACCTCATTACGCAATATTCACAATCCTTACTATATGCTATTTGTCGTAGGCACTGTATAGAAAAACCAATAAACATGTTATTGAATTACTTAGATAATTAGTATTAATTGTTAAAATTAGTAGCAACTAGTACCTTTATTATCTTCTAATTAGGGTAGGTTAGATCATATAACTTGTACCTTAATGGTATAAAAAGGTTCTTTTGGGTGCCATAAAGCACCGCAGCCCTGATAAAGAAAGAAAATAAGTTGAAGTCAGAAATTCAAAATGATAAAAAATATATAAAAGTTAATTAAAATATAGGCTTACATATTAAATAATTCTATCATGCCAGGTCTATTATCTGGCTGCCCACCAGCAAAATCCAGATAGTAAAACTTTACAATTTTAACACCAGCCGGTATAATGCAAATCAACATCCAGTAGCTCCTAAAACAATTTGAAAGCACATGTCGTGAAATTTAAAATGAAAAGATAAATTAAATTAAGTAGGATATCTTTGAACTCACTTGTACATAAGTTATTAGAAATAA